TTCTTTGCTCTCCTGGACAGTGTCTAGACGTCTCTGTTCGTGTGCCCCATGCTCTGAGAGAGAGCATGTCAAGAGCCTGAGTCCTGGTGTGCAGGCTCTTTCTAGGGCTGCGGTTGTCACCCTTGCCTATGCCCCATGATCAAAATAAGTCAGCATGGGAGGTGCAGATGGTGTCACGTCTGATTCACTGGGAAGCACCAAAGCAAACAAAGCCCTTGGAAAGTAAAGTTGGGTTTGGAAAGTTTGAGTGTCGACGTTAAGAAACCTGTGGGACCATACATTACAGCAGAAGAGGTTGTATGAGAGACCTAGTTCCATCCATGAGAACTGTGAAATGAAGACTGTGTTCACTGGGCAGATTAGACTAAATTTATGAGAAGAACGCTAGGACATGAGCGAAGCTTGAAGTACTAAATGCTGGAAGAGGGGACAGGAAGATTGTCAGAAGACCAGGAAGTCAGCTGCAAGATTATGTCTTCTAGATATGATGAGGAAGTTACACCCATGAAATTTCATCAACATAGCTGCCCAAATAAGACCGAACAATTATCATACCGATTGGCATGCTGATATGGATGAGGACAATTTCTCCAGGCCCCACCCCTAGATGAGGAGAGATACAAGCAATCAAGGACCGGAGAAAGGGATAATCAGCCCTAAAAACATACACATATAAGCAATCGCTATACAGACCCAGCAAGTTTTATTCATATATCTGCGCGCGCGCGCGCGCGCACACACACACACACACACACACACACACACACACACTCACTCAGAAACAAGGAGGTTACACATTTAGGAGGGATAAGGGATGGGGGAAGAGATGGTAGGGGATGGAAGGAGAAGAGGGAGAGAATGACCTAATTGTATTTTAATTAAATAAAAATTAAAAATACAAACAACCAATAAGAGATCAAATGGCTGAAGCAGTGTGAGTCGGTGAGAAACTGAGGAAGAAAGATGCACCAGTGAACTTTTCAGTAAATTTCAGGTCAGACTGGAGGCCAAAGATCCCACACATTCCTCTCATAGTTTGTGAGTGTTAGAATTTTTTTTGTATCTCTAATTGAACTTTAGGGGGAGGGAGCAGGAGGAGAGATGAGAGGGGGATCTGTGGTTAGCATGTAAAATGAATAAAAATATTTTTTAATAAAGAAAAAAATAGCGTATGTCTTTGAGGTGTTCTTGTGGCCCTTAAGCAGGGTAGAATCACTGCAAGGAAGCATAAATTCAGGATGCAGCTCAGCTGAATGAAATTTTCCTTTGCCTATTATTACTACTGTGGCATGCAGTCCTGTTTCCAGAAACAACAAATTTGTACAAAAGGTTGGTTTCCATGATGAGTCAGTTTTCTTCTTTGAAACGCTTCTTGCTAATGTTAGGCTGGATCAGACAAGCCCACGAAATTAACAGTTTAGCACAGGTCTTTTCTTGGTATCCACTGACAAAGTGAAGACAGTTTAGAGAGGAAATGAGTAGTTTTCTAAGAACCTCTTGCATACTGAAAAGGATTGGTTGAGGAAATGCATGCCGGAATTCTGTGAGTGCCTGTTACGGAGCTTTGAATGTCTAAACTTGTATAGGCGCTGCCTCAGCTCTCGGAGTTACCCGGCTGACCCAGTCAGTGTGACACGTAGACCCGGCTGCCACAGGCAAGCTGTGGAAACCTGGTAAGCATTAGGGGGAACAGGAATCTCAGAAACTGGGTGCATTATCTTTACCTAGACATCTGCTTTGAGAGAAAAACGTGGAAGCTTAAGTATCCAGTCAAAATAAAATAAAGCTCGTATCCAAATTAGTTCATAGTGCCACTGATTCATTCTTTTTGACTTTCAGACAATTTTGGGGACAATGGTATGGCAAACACTTACATTCTCACTTACCTTCAAGAATAATGAGATGGTAAAAATGTGGCTCTAAATTTATATATACGTTCTAATTTATTAAGTATGTGACTTGGTGCACTTTGCTTTTTAAAAATGTTAATACAGGTCTATGTCAAGTGGGTCATGAGTTCCCTAATGTGGTACACGTGACAATAAAAACAGCTGACATTTATTGAGTTTCTGTTGCTGAGAGTTTTCTGTGTGCTGTTATTTGGTGCTCACCACAGTTTTATGAGTTTAGTACTATTAGGTGCTTTCCTTGGATGCTAGGGAGCTGAGACACAGAGAGCTTGCGTAGCCCATCCAAGGCAACACAGCAGGATTTAAAAAGCGTTTGAGAACTTGCAGCCAGGAATTTTAACTGCTTTTCAGGCACCAGACATCTTACGAGCTTTTCCATATTGTATTGTACTGCACAAAATCTTGGACTGTGAGATTTGAGGAAAACTTGGCCGACAGAGAAAGGACATTTGCTATTACATGTTTTCTTGCTGTTCTCTCAGCCTATCAGAAGGGACCACAAGTATTTTCAAGTGATGTTTACTGTACTGCTAGCTGTAGGTCAGAATTGGTTTAAAAGTTTTAATTATTTTATTTAAAAATTTCATGTGAGTACATATTAAACATTGAACAGATTCTCCACGTACCCCACGTCCGCCCTTTCCTGTCCTTTTCTGCTTCTGTTCATCACCTTTGTCCCCCCACCCACCCAGATTGTGGTTTTCACTTCTCCTTCCATCACATATACCCATTTTATGAATCAATCTGTGGTGGTTGATCTTGGTTGTCTTCTTTACGCACGGGGAAGAGGGAACCTCAACTGAAGAATTGCATCCATCAGATGGACCTTTGGACATGTCTGTGGGTCATTATTTTTTATTTCTAGTTAATGGAGAAGAGCACAGTCCATTGCGGGTGGTACCATCCCTAGGCAGATGGATCTGGGCTGTATAACAAAAGTAGCTGACTGAAGTCCTATTCAGAAAATCCTTGCCTGTGACTGTATCATGAAGCTTTCCCCCTACTTTTTCCCCTAACAGTTTCAGAATTACAGGTTTTACATTAGAGTCTTTGAACTATTTGAAATTGATTTTCATGTAGTGGAAAAGATGGCAGTATAATTTCATTGTTTTACACATGGGTACTTGATTTTCCCAGAAGCATTGGTTTAAGAAGTTGTGGTTTTGCCAATGTGTGTTTTTGGCATCTTTGTAAAAAAAATCAGGTGGCTGTACATCTGCCATGTTCTTTGAAGTGTATTTCCTGTTGTAGTTAATTAACTCTCATCACATCCCTGTGAGACAGGCACTCTTGGTATCTTCCTTTTGCAGATAAGAGAATCTGGATAAGGTCAGTGACATTCCTGAGACTACCCAGATACTTGGGTCCAGATCCCAGCAGGCTGACCTAAACTCCATGTCTAACTACTGTATACCTCATCTCTCCGGTTTTTGTTTTTACAGAGTTATACCTTCTCTGTATTGTTTAATTTTTGCACTTTCTCTTGCCCCTTATAGAGTCTGCTGACTTAGTGTGTGCCTACATACCTGCTTGAGACAAGACTGAGAGCCCTTTCTCATTACCAAGGCAGAGGACTGTTTGAGCTCAGCCGAAATATCCTCTAAGCAAAACACTCTCTTGATCCTCTATGAAAACAATATTACAATTAGAGTATTCCATGTATCACCTTGTTTTACAGATATGAAAATAGAGCTAGCCTTTGGTTTTCCATGTCCTTCTGAATTGGAGAGTTGCTGTGAGGACCAATGGATATTTTCTTGTAAAGTTATTCCATGCTCACACATGAACCCGTTCAGATGATACTACCAACCATTTAATCACAGTTTAGAGAAAAGGTTCCTTATTCACTTTCATCCACAAAAGGAATTATCAAAAATTACATTGGAGTAGGAAGAGATGCCCCTTTTCCAAGGTCCAGTGGTATGGGAGAAAAAATTGTCCATGGAATGTGCCTAGGGAGGTTTTATGTTATTTTGCCTACCCAGAAGACGTTTCAGAGCCCCAGACCTAACTAAGGTCAGAGAACACAAGCCTGGAGATACCATCTCTCTACCAAACATTGTAATTATCAATCTCAGTATCTCTTTTTTCCTTTCCTTTCCTTTCCTTTCCTTTCCTTTCCTTTCCTTTCCTTTCCTTTCCTTTCCTTTCCTTTCCTTTCCTTTCCTTTCCTTTCTTCCTCCCTCCCTCCCTCCCTCCCTCCCTCCCTCCCTCCCTCCCTCCCTTCCTTCTTTTTCTTTCTTTCTGTTTTGGTTTTTCAAGACAGGGTTTCTCTGTGTAGCCCTGGTTATCCTGGAACTCACTCTGTAGACCAGGCTGGCCTCAAACTCACAGAGATCCTCCTGACTCTGCCTTCCTAGTGCTGAGGTCAAAGGTGTATGCCACCACCACCTGGCTTAAGATTTCTTTTAAAATTTAAGAATTTCTAAAGAAATTTTGGTCAATAGACTAAAATTCATGACTTCCCTCATGACCCCCCATAAGAAACAGAATTTGTTGCTGATTGGCTATGACTTTTACCACACACAATGCTTTCTTTAATGTTAAAATATAAAAGCTGTCATGTATTTTTACTTAGGAAATAACACAAGAAACTGCAGAGATGATTCTGTTGATGAAAAGCCCATACTGTTCTTTACAGAACGCAAATTTGGTTCCCAGCACCCATGTAGGGATTCCAACAGCTGCCTGAAACTCTACCTCCAGGGGAATCTGATGCCTGTGTCCTTCTTTGGTGCATGACCTCACATGTACATATTCACACACAGACACACACACATAGTTAATTCATTAAAATTAATAAAAATAAAATTGAAACTCATTATGCTATACTATCAGATCACATCTTTTGCTTTTATTATGACTTGAGTCTTGATTTTCAAAATTAATCCTTATAACATTTCAGTGATCAGTAAAATTGTTATCTACTTGTAAAATTATATCAAAGATACTATAATAATTTTTAAACCCACAGAATCTGAAATATAGTGGGATAAGACAATAGTATTTATAATATTTAGGCATAAATTTCTTCCAGTTTTCAAGTAAATTAGAACTTCCAATGAACTTTTAACATAAAATAACTTTAATTGTTACTTTTAAAATTTTAGCATCTCAAATAAATTATTTGTATTTTAAAAGTACCCAGAAATATGAAATGTAGAATAGCTGATAGTATCCACACATAGTAGATAGATATGTAATTTTAGTAATTCCGAATGTGCAAATAACAATAGATATATAGCATTAGTGTATCTTTCCACTGTAAGAGGAGTGGTGATGCATGAGGCTTTAGAATCATAACTTTGAGGATTCTCTGGTATTTTTGCTATGCATGAACTAATGAATAACTAAATAACCTGTAGTTACAGACTTTCATTCAGTGAGCATAGAATTTAAGGAGCAATCTGTGTAGGAATATGAATCATGAAGCAGGAAGATTTTTCAGCTAGCTACTTGTATCCCCATAGTGATAGCAGGTATTAAACTGCAGGTAGAAAGAGATTCCTTACTTCATATGGTCTTCAAATAATATTAAACCATCTAAATTCTCTTCAAGCTCAAATTTCATGTGTTTCAATAACCCCAGGCTTCTTTTTTGTTGAAGCTTATTATCCCAGAATATGTGCTTTTAGAAATATTTTTTTATTTAAGTCATAAAATACAATGTACCCCTGCATAGCATGGATATTGCCTGGCTTTGGGTTTAACATAAGCCAAGCTTCTCTCAGCTAACACTACTGTTAGAATGGGTTCTCACAAAATCACAAAAGGTGAGACTTGCATTTTATAAGAGATGTTACTAAATGTTCCAACAACGGAGCAAAGGTTTTCCTATTACATAATGAATCCAAGAAAACAGGACCCATCAGATGGCATCAACTCAAGGATAGTGACTAGGGAACGGACAGAAAGGTTAATGATAGACATGAATTTAGGGCTGCACCTGCATTGGAAAAAAAGTCAACATGATTATTTGCCTATTTTTTCAATGCAAGGGTAGTTTTATTCTGATTTAATGATTCGATCTCCACTTAAACTAGCACACAAAGCCAATGTATGCATAGTCTTGTTTCTTTGTTAAATTTATAGCAATATTCTATCGTACCAGTCTATTTTTAGATGATGCCAAATGTTTGTAGAAGACTATATATAAACCTATCCATTCATCCACTTACCCATTTTCTCAGTCATCCATTCGACAAAACTTTGTTGCCTTTTTAGTATGCATTAGGTTCTGTAGTTGTCTTAAAACACATTGATAAATGAAAACAGTATAAAAAATTTAGATAAACACATGCATTTGGTCCTTGCTCTTATGAAGATTCAGATGCATGGGGGGAGGCAAGCATTAATTACAACATCTCACTAATCAAAGTGGAATTAAAGTTGTTACCTTGTGGAAAAGCTATTCAGTGTAACATAGCAACCACAATTTTCTGGGACGACAGTGTGCCAGGGAAGGCTCTGGCAAGGTGTGAATAAGGTGAAACATGAGGGGTCTTCAATATAAGAAAAATTATTTGCAAAGGTCCCAGAGAGGAGGAAGAGAGGGAAAAATCTGAAGGCAGCCCGATTTGAAGGGCTTCAGAGAGAAGCAAACAAACAGACCAAAGACCAAACACTTAGTAATTTTTAGGTCATCTGTAAACTTCAGTCTTTGTCCTTTTTGTTTGTTTCCATTTTTGCTTTTTACGACAGTCTTACTTTATAGCCCTGATTGACCTGGGACACCTACTGTAGACCAAGTGGTCACAAATGTGCAATGATACCCCATTCCTGCCCCACCCCGAATGCTGGGATTGCAGGGATTGCAGGCATGCATTGCTAGGAAAGCCCCGAGGATTATTTCCTGACTGCTGTCTTTCTAGTCCTGCCCTAAGTCCTGGCAGTGGTGGAGCTTGAAGGGATAGAATAGTGCCCTTCCAGAGGTTATGGGCCAGGAAGTAAGTAAGGACAAGTTATTATTCATGAATAAGTGCATACAGCCGGAGAAAAAAATCCTATTAGTTTGCTAAGAACGTTGTCTTACTTTATATTGGACCCTAAGTCATTATACTGAATTTGTTTCAGATTGTTGATCAAGAAGTGAGCACAGGATAAGCACATATACAATGCTCTTGATATAGTGGCTTTAGGAAAGGGAAAGTTCCCAACAATCTTCTCTAGGGATGAAATGGGAACATACACAGTTTAGATGTCATGGTGATACTCACATGCAAACAGGATAGCAACAAGTAATTTTCTCTTCCTTTTAAATGAGAGACTAGACAAACTGATTCATAACACTTCTTTTTGGCTGAGAATTTCTTTTATTCTTCCATGTCACAGTCTTTTGTGAAGAATGACCTTTAAGATGTGGTAAATGAGGTCCTTGACCACCCCCCGCCCCCCACACACACCCCGGCTCGCACAGTCCTTTCTTCCGCTCTTCAGCAGGATTCCCCGACCTCGGTCCAGTGCTTGGCTGTGGGTCTCTGCATCTGTTTCCATCAGTTACTGGGTGAAGCCTCTCTGATGACAGTTCTGGTAGTCACCAATCTATGAGCATAGGAGAATATCATTAGGTATCATTACACTGACTTTTTCCCCTTCAGTTGTGTTTGGTTCTATCCTAGGTCTCAGGGCCATCCATCCTCTGGGTCCTGGCACTCCAGGCAGTGTCAAGAATGGGCTCATTCTCATAGTATGGGGTCTGAGGCTGGATCAGTCATTGGTTGGCCACCCCTGAAATATTTCCAACACCCTTAATACACTCCCCCACCACACCCATTCCATAGGCAGGGCAGACTGTAGGTCGAAGGTTATGTGGCTGGGTTGGTGTCCCAATCCCTCCACTAGGAGTCTTGCCTGGTCACAGGAGGTGGCCAGTTCAGGCTATGTGTCCACTGTTGCTAGGACTCTTAGCTGGGCTTATCCTTATAGATTCCTGGAAGTTTTCATTGCACCTGGTCTCTACCTGACCCTGAAATGTCCCCCCCCCCCCCCCCGCAACTTCCAGTCATATCTTTGAGTACTCTCCCCTTCCACCCACTCCCAACCTGATTCCTCATTTCCCCATCTCCACTCACCACCAGTCCACCCACAAGATCTCTTTTATTTTCCCTTCCCAGGGAGATCCATGCATCCACCCTAGGACCCTCCTTGCTACCTAGTCTCTCTGGGTCTGTGGATTGCAGCCTGGTTATCTTTTACTTTGTAGTTAATATCCACTTATAAGTCAGTGCATACCATGTTTGTCTTTTTGGGTCTGGGCTACTTCATTCATGATGATTTTTTTCTGGTTCCACCCATTTGCCTTAGAATTTCATGATGTCGTTGTTTTTAACAGCTGAGTAATACTCCATTGTGTATCACAAGGGAACCCACATAAACATCTAACCTAGGCTCACTGGGGCTCCCAAAATCTGGACTGACAGCCGAGGAGCCTGGATGTGACTGACTTAGTCCCTCTGCATATGTGTGACAGTTGTGTAGCTTGGTCTACTTGTGGGATTCCTAACAGTGGGAGCAGGAGCTGTCCCTAATGCTTTGGCTGGCATGGTGGTTTGAAAGGAAACGGCCCCCAAAGGGAGTGGCACTATTAGGAGGTGTGGCCTTGTTGAAGGAAGTGTGTCACTGTGGGGGCAGGATTTCACATCTCTTTAGCTCAAGCTTCCCTCAGTGTGACAGTCAGTTGACTTCCTGTTGCCTGCAAGATGTAGCACTCTTAGCTCCAGCACCATGTCTGCCTGCATACTGCCATGTTCCCCTTCATGATCACAAGGGACTGAACCTCTGAAACTGTAAGCCAGCCACCCTCAATTAAATGTTTTCTTTATAAGAGTTGCTGTGGTCATGGTGTCTCTTCACAGCAATATAACCCTAACTAAGCTAGCTTTTGGGAACATACTCCTCATACTGGGTTGCCTTGCCCAGCCTTAATACAAGGGGAGGAGCTTAGTCCTACCAAAACTTGATATGCCATGCTTTGTTGCTACCCAATGGAGGCCTGCTACTTTCTGAACAGAAATAGAAGAGGAGTGGATGAGGGTGGTGATAGAGTGAGGAAGAGGGAGGGAATTGGAGGAGAGGAGGAAGACATACTGTGGTTGGGATGTAAAATAAATGAATAAATTTAATTATTATAAAAAGATGTGGTATGTGTGCATGATTGGCTATTAGCCATTAAGAATGAAATGATGTTGTTTGCAGGAGAATGGATGGAATCAGAGGACATCATGTTGAGCAAAGTAAGCTAGACTAAGAAAGAGACACACCACACATGTTTCCTTTCACATGTAGGATCTAGATTAAAACAATAACAAGAAATGATGAGAATAACAGGGGAACTATTTGGATAAGGAAAGGAACCTGTGGGAGAGAGAGGACGAACAAGAGATGTAAGAGAGTCATGAACATCCTCAAAGTGCACTCTACACATGCCTGAAAATGTCACATCAAGTCCATCACTGTATGCAATTTATATGTGATAATGGCCCTGGATGTAAACCCTGACCTGCTACTCACATACCACATAATCATTCTTTTTTTTAAAAAAGTTTTTCTTTCAAAATATCTGTTTTGTAAACTCACCTTGAAGACTAAAAAAAAAACAAAGTCCCTATCAAGTCTGCAGCACAGAGCTAGGGAGATTACTCAGAGGGTAATGCAGCAGGTAACACACGCATAACAGCAATCCACCAGCTGCAAGATGGGGGTGGACACAGGAGAATCAGAAGACGGTGGGCCGGCTAGCTCCAGAGACTCTGCCTGAACAAGGTGGAGGCAAGAACAACTTCCAAAAGTTGTTCAGGGATCTCTATAGCTGTGCTATGGCAGGCACATACCTACACACACACACACACACACACACACACACACACACACACACACACACACACTCTATTATGTAAATAAAAATGAAAAGTATGTAGTTCATTCCTTAGATGCAGTAGGAGCTGAACAAATGATATCAATTCTTATCATTATTTTAATAGTATTAGGTCTTCCCTGCAGGACTGACACGTCTGGGCTCACGGAGACTGGAGCCCAGGGCCTGCATAGTCTACGTCAGATGAATTCCCAGTGCTGACAGGGTAAGTGGACACGAGACCCTGTCCCTAACCCAGAATCTATCTCCAACTGAACCACTTGCAAAGGAAAAAGTATTTTTCTCCAGTGCAGTCCCACTGGGTATCAAATCATACCTAAGGGAGGCCCCATGCCCACTAATAGATGGCCAACACGAAACAAACTCAATGGTATTTTGGATTTGTTTGTTTGTTTGCTTGCTTGTTTCATAATTCCTTATCTGGGCACTATTTTTTTTTAACCTTACAGGTTTTTTTGCTTATATTTTATGATTTCTGGTTTTGTTTTAGAGGATTTTGGGGTGGAGGAGTGCGTGTGTTTCAGTATCTGTATGCGTTTCTTGTGACTTTTCTTTCTTTTTGCTTGCTTGTTTTTTTCCTATTCTTGTTTGTTTTTATCATATTTTATTTCATTGTTTTTTAGATGCCTCTTTGTTTTCTAATGAGAGAGACAAAGGAATAAATAGTGTGGGATTGGGTGGGTGGGGAGGATCTAGGAGGAGTTGGAGAAGGGGAGCCATGTTCAGAATATACTGCATGAAAAACAATCTATTTTCAATGAAAAAAAGGTGTTGGAAACATCATTTTAGATGTCTACAAAAAAGTTGCCATTCTGTGGGCACTTATTTCGCTGTCTGGAAACCAGTGTGGGAAGGTAAGTACATGTGAGGACCCACAGCGTAGCTGCTTCAGAGAAGAAAGTGAGGTGGAGATCCAAGAGAATTAGGAATAGCGAAGACCTTCAGGATTTTCAAATAGCCCAGTTCTGTCCCAGTTTGGTGTGTTTAGGGAATAGAAAGTCAATGTGTGCCTAAAATAGCATATCTCAAAATCTTTTGAAGGTCATCTTACATATTTGTTAATTTCATGTATTAAAAAATCTTCCTGGGTGTGTCTTGGGTGCCTCTGGAAACTACATTTTCTGTATTCCTTTCACAGAACTGTCCTTTTGTGCAGTATTGTTTACAGAGCTAAAGACTAAGCACTGTCCCATCAGCTGGGGACATTCCTTCACTGTCTCCTAGAGGAACTGTGTACATTTGGCCCTCTGTATCATGGTGTTCCAGATTATCAGATTCAACCAACTGTAGATGGATATACAGATAAAAATTTCATAAAGTTCTAAATAGCAAAATTGAATTTTATATGAGCTGGGTACCACTGTAATCTGTGGTGTGCAGGCACACCCTGCCATAGCCTCCTGCTGCTTCTTAGCTTAGACTGTTACCAGCAACTGAGCATCGTTTCGGCTGCATTATGTTCTGTGCAGTTAGGCCGATGGCTGTGTCTGTATAGAATGTATATGGATATATTTCTTCATTATTTCCTAAACAATGCAGAATAACATCTTTTCACATAGCATTGGCAATGTATTAGGTATCAAAAGTAATCTACAGATGGATTTAGAGTATATGAGAGGATGTTGTGGGATATATGCAAGCATTACAGCATTTTACAGAAGGGACTTGAACATCTGTGGATTTGGGTATCATCGGGGGGTCTCAGAATCAATCCACTGTCATACGAAGGGACAACTGTATTTCTGTTAAGATCCATTTATTTTAAACAGTGTTTGAAAATCACCTAGATTCATATTTTCTCACATTTTATCTGAGAAGTGCATGATGTTTACTTGTGAAATGGAAATGAATTTTAGTATTGCACTTACTGCTGTGGGGTGTAGAGTTGACTTCATCTCATTAAATGCATGGGTGAATTAGTGTATTTATTTGCATGTATGATATATCTGTATTTCAAAGCAAACATTTCAAAGGATCATAGAAATATGTATGTAAAGTTTGCATTTGCCTCCTAGTGATGTTCTTAGAGAGGGTAGGCACTACACAGATCTGCTTTTATAAGAAAAATTGGACTGTTTGGAATTCCATTACTCAATTTTCATGGGCATAGATGTAGGCAGTCTTCTAGATGCAAAACTTTCAAGTGTTTATGACATAATTTTAAAATATGGCAATAAATAGGTAAGATCAAATTCTCCCCACAGGTAACTTAGTGTGAGCCCAAGCAGTGGCTCTTCTCGTCTGTGTTCATAAGAGAGTCAAGACACACAGGGCTAAGCATAGTTTTGTGAGACAGTTCTAAGTCACACACATTTCAGTTTATAATGTCGGTGCTTTACAGTAAATAACCTGAGATGGAGCACGTATTGAAAACAGCGCTGGGGGCTGCTAAGCCGGGTTAGTTATCCACAGATGTGAACTCCTTTAATTAAACACAACATGGTCCCATGTTTTTCCATACAGCTTCTTTTGGCTTTTAGTTCTTACATTTTATTTTATCAAGAATAGATTTTAATCATGATTTAAACATGCATGAGCCGGTTTTCACTTTGATGTAGGAAGATCTGATCCCCATGGAAGTTAATGGGGGTTATGAATGGATGCAGAGGGGGAAATGTACCCACGGCTTCCAAAACAAATTTAGAACAATTTATAATGCCCTGCAGTA